ATCAAGGAAATACAATGAACTAAATTCACTGAAAATAAATGTTGTTTGCTTTATTTTGATGACGACGCAACTTACTGTTCAACGTGCAGCTCGCGTTTTTTTTCTTCAAGAATTCTGTACGAGCTTCTCGAGAAGACATCAATTTTCATTCGTGTATCAAACTTCATGAACACGACCCATAAACAATTCTGGTTGCCACAAAAAATTATTTTTGATACATAAATAAACAGAAAGAGGATGAAACGATCACAGAACAGCACAATCCATACGCGATTTTTGCATCCACTCTTGCAAACCCCGTTTCACTACAGATGACACTTAAATGCGTTCCCTATTAAATATGTTGCTATTGAGTACTATTAAATTCGTTAAATAATGGTAACAATTCGTGCAAAATACAATGTGCAGATGATAATTGGGTTTCTCCTCCAAAGGATCGCGTTCCAAATGCGAGTATGAACACTACGAATTAGTCTAAGTATGACTTATCCTGTGAACAATCGTTTGTGACTGAAAATCGAGCAATCAAAACAGATGCTCAAGAGATTGTAACAATATAAACCTAATGAATCTAACAATAATGAATCAGCCGTCTCGCCAACTTCACAAACACTGAAATCATGCAAATTTGTCTCGTCAACGACTAGAAATCAAAAACTGAATGAACAGTAGCAAAGCGCATAAAAACGCGATCACAGATCGAAACTACTGGATTTGAAAGAAAGCATTGGATTGAAGCACTGCTGTGTGTTATGTTTATAAACAAGCAATAGGTATTCCCATGAAAGTAAACATCAATCAGCAAATAAATTGCGCTCAAATGAATAAAAATGATGAAAGAAAAGTGATACGATTGAGAATACGATTGCAATGATCAAAGAAACGTATTATTGTTGCTATCGCGCCATAGACGAAAGGAAAACATTGTGCACCATTTATTCACTTGTTCATGTGTTCGAAATGCAAAATTTTGCGCGTTGCATGCAATGTAAATCAAGCAAAATGTTGATTCTGCACAATAACGAACGACCGTTTACTTACAACACAATTATCTCAGTTGAATATCTCATTTCTGATCAGTAGCAATGAACACATTCAACACCAAAACAACATCTGCAATGTGTCAAATGCTTGGCTAACGTTATTTATGTGATGATAACGTGGATTGCACCCGAGCATCTCCCGTGTGTCCTTATATAATGCATGCATATTTTTAATGACTCATAAAGAGGCGCTTCACAATGTGCCACTATATGGTAGACCGTGATCATTCATTACGTTTCTCACATTAATAATTCATATAAAATACGATATTTGTTCATTCACTGAAATAGTCTTCTCAGTTTCATTGCTTGCTGCATTTGTTCGTTTTTCTATGGTGTGTTCGAGAATGATAGCACTGAAGCGAAACAATACATCGTACATTTCATTAGGGTTGAATCATGCAAATGCATCCAAATATTATACTTTACAATGATCACACTGTACAAAAGAAACGTGTCCGAGATGTTTTCTCTGTGCACCATCGAGCTTCTATAAGCCATCAAAACAGAGCCAACAAAAAAGAATTTTCGGTGAATCAGTCAATGAACATCGATGATTTCATAAACCACTTCATTTGATCAAAAACTGAGGTGTACTGCAAAAAAAATCAAACGAACCGGGACGACAATAACGAAGAAATGCAATAACTCAATTATACAACTGATTGATTCTATAGCGAACAAACAATCTCAAACAGATAAACAATTAGCAACAGCAGCAGTAATATAAGTAATGTAAGATGAGTAGTAGTAGACCAAAAGAAACGTTCTGACCAAGCATTTACAAATGAGCAAACCAGTAATTAATGGTAAGTTGCAATCAGAGACGAATGGATAGAAGGATGAGCGATGGTTATTAAAGGGAATTAACTGATTGCTTCATGGAAACTTAGAATCAGAGAATTGTTTCGGAGTGCGACATGAAATGATGATGAGAATTTCAGAGCAATTTTAAGAAATTAATAAACTATTTGAAAATTCCACTCTAAAAAAAATACTGCATCAGATTCGTAGTGAAACAAGAAACGCAACGACAGAGTACAAAGCGCAAATAGGCACACAGAATATCAGACCGACTGACAATGATGAATAATAGATTGATGAAAATGATGAGTATTACGACAAACGATCGGTTATTTCGATAACTCAAGTGGGCCACAACTTAAAAAGACACTTTTTTCCTAATAACCCGTAAGATGAAGATTTTGTACACTAGCAGTGATGAAAATCTGCTGAATGAGTTTGTTCAAATTAATATGAAGCTTATGAGCGAGAAGGTAATCAACGATAAGATATGCCAATTATTCGTGACGTACAACTTTGATCAGTCAATATTTCTACTGATCCAAATACACGAAAGTATTCCTGTCAACGGGATACCTCGTCGTCAACAATTCAACAGAAATGTTTGACGGATGTCTAAACAAAAGAGATGAAAAGCAGCGCACTGAATTGCGATGATGCACATGTACAACGATGCTTTATGAAGTGAAGAGATGAGATGTTAACAATGAATGTCAGTGATAACAACAGTGATTATAAGAGACGAGCAACGATTCATCGAACTCAATCAAATCAATCATTGAAAACTTTTAGCATTTCACTCACTCCTCTTTGATGGCACCGTCATTGCTCTCCGATATCGTCTTCCGATTACCATTTTCCTGAAGTTCTTTTGAATTTTCAGCAACTTTAGGTGACCGAAAACGTTACCAGCGGCGACTCAAAACCGACAGGTAAAATCGATACACGGAAACGTACACTTATCTCATCAAACTTCAAAATATAATCAAAGTTTCTATGGGTTTACCTGAACATCGTCTTCATTGTCTTCCAGATCAATCGACGTTCTGAAGATTCCATCATCACGAAAGCGCTGATTACTGGCTGTTTCATGATTGGTGGTGTTTTCTGAGTCAGCATCAGCGACTGATTCAGCTGTTCGTTGACTACCGACGTTTTTTCCTGGTTTCTTCTTCTTCTTCTTCGACAATTGCTCTGGCATTGAATATGCACTGAAAGCCACAAACGAAAAGACTATAGTTTGCCGTAACAAGAACCGTCAAAATTACATCATCAGAAATAAACTGATACCAAAACGAACTTCAGCGAATGCACTAATGAAAACACGCAGATAAGTTAAAAGCACCTTCGTTTTGCACGATGTTCTCCCTTCGCCACTCCGCCAGCTGCAGCCGCATCAGGCCCGAACGTTTTCGATTCTGGCTAAAGCAGCACAAATTTACAATGCATTAACAATAAGTTAGACTCGCTGAACATTTTCTCACAAAGATTCTCCAAAACATTTCCGAACATCTAGTTTTCACCTTCGGAACAGAATCATTCTCATCGGCATCGTAGCCATCAGTGCTGTCGTCGTCCTCATCATCGGACGGCAACTCAACGTCAAGATCGAGCTGTACGGACGTTACTTTTCCACTCGCAGCCGGATGTCGACGTCTCTTTTCAGTCGGTGCTTGCAACTGTTGATTCTCAGTTACTGGAACTGATAATGCACTGCCGCTTCCACCCTCATCATCAACATTCCTCATTGGTGATACACTCTGAAAATTACTTATTTTGATGCATCCAATCCCAATCCACTGACTATACAACCAACCAGAAGACTGGACTGCTCACAAGGCAATAGGAACGGGAATAGATTGACAAGTAACTTGGGCACAACTTTGGAATCGGGATATCGACAAGCAGCAAGATTCTTCTCTGAGATCACCAACCAGAATTTCGGCTCATCTACCTCCACACGACGTAAATATATCACTGAACTGCAGTGTAGAAGACCGTCTCAAGAAACCCTCCGAATGCAAAAATTTCCGCCGAGCACTACCTTCTTCTCACCAGAGACACTGACTGACGCAGTCCCTCGCATACCAACAAACAAATACAATCAATTTGAAAAAAATTACAAACATTTGCCGTATTTTCAGGTGCTCTATCATTCACTTCAACATCATCGAAAGCGTCGTTCTCTGCAGCAAATCTTCGACGATTGCCACCATCCGAATCTGGAACATTCTGAAAGCAAAACTGAAAGATAATAGATAAGTACAATCGAACATCTTCAACCCGAACACGTCGTTGTGTTCCAAATTGGGTGACTGTTGTTGCTCTACATGCAAACCACGGCTGAGTAGGAACTCACCGTGGAAAAAAGCAACCGACCGAGCAACTCCAATATAGCCTGTATGTGAACAGAACAAGTATGATGTAAAAATCGGTTCTGCTGTCTTTGCAGGCGACGAGATCGTCGTCATTAAGATTCACACGACAAACATTTCATGTAACGCATTGGCAATGAACCGCTCTACATCCGTACAAAATTACATTTCTAACAACCTTTTTAGACGTTAATTTAACACAAAAGAAAAATTAATTAATCCAGAAAAACAACTGAAGTGTACCTCAAGATTTTGTGGTTGCGATCGTTGTGAGGTTCGCATAGCACGACTGACAAGGCCGTAAACGAATGGACGTAACGGTCTGAGTTTCTTACGGATCGCTTCCGAAAATCCCGACGCACTAGACTCATCGTTGTTGTGCCCGGAAGGCGAAGTGCTTGTTGCGGGGACAACACTATTATCATGAGCTGCTCTAGCATCATCTGTCGCATCACTGTGCACCATCGCTTGCGTCGTTTCTCGTCTACCACTTGACGATGCTGAAATATTTGCCGAAACATTAACACTACTCATGCTTGAAACAATCGATTCGTTAGATAATATTTAATCCGATATCATCAAACTTTACCCTAATATAAGCATTTCCTCACTTTTTAAAAATCAGTGTATCCGTTCCACGACACAATTATTATTGTTCGTTCATGACTCAGTGTTAACGTAATACATGAATACATTATAATTAATTCTCATTGGTGTCATCAAAGGTTCAACTAAACAACTAGGTAAGCATTAAATGTTGAGTGTTAGTACCAATTTCATCATCTTCCATAAAGTGAACAACACGCAACGACCCATGATGAATATCGCTTGACGCCATCTGAATGATGATTCATTTCATTTCAAAAATTTACACTTCTGCTGGTTATTCGTTTATTAATGCATCATAAAGCCATGAACTGTTTACTCTCAGTTCAGCGTCAACTCCAGCCCTCCAACTACCGCTGTTGTTGTTGCTCTAGATGCAAACCGCAACTGAGCACAAAGTCACTACGGAACGAAACAATCAAGCAACTGTAATGTTGCCTGTATGTGAACAGAACAAATATGATTTAGAAATAGGTTCTGCTGTCTTTTCAGGCGATACGGTCATGAAACTTACAAGACATAATCGTTTTAGTTGATTTGTTGTGCTAAACTAGACTCCATCCAAAACTCAGCAGAGTTATGGTCACATCCACAGAAGACATGTAAAATGCAGTAATTATCTCGGATCAGCAACAATAATGGAATAATCGAAAAACAAATACCAACTTCTTCTTCGTGTCTTAATAAAGGAGCATTTTCACGCGTTGTTGTCGGGCGCACTACAGTGTTTGTGGCTGTTTCCGCATTACGACGTCGTTCCACGTCGGAGTCCGACGAATCTGAATCACCCGTCGAGCACACTTTACGCTTACAGATTGGACACACTTTACGATTCTTTGTTAACCACGGATCGATACATTTGCAGTGATACGCTGCAATCGAGACGATAATGCTTTATCAATTATCAGCCGATTCACCGCCCTACCAGTGAGAGCGTTCCTTTGAATGAAGCAGAGCACTCACCATGTTTGCACGGCAATATACGTAATTTTTCACCATCGGCGAAATCATCCAAACAAACCGCACACGTTTCGGGTTGATCACCTGAATGTGCGTTGACTACAGACAGCAACAAGAACACATGAGCAACTTCGTTCTCATTGCAAAACGGCGTGAATTACTTGAAGACGAGATATATAACAAGAAAACATTAGATGAGTTACCTTTACGATATTTCTTAGTGGGTAATTTTCTCAAATTACTTCTCGAGAGACGTTTCCTTGCGATGCGCCTGCGCTCGCGACAAACACGAATAACCTGATATGACGTTGAGTTCAATTAGATGCCAAGATCATCTTCATTTATTGTACCAATCAATCACTGATCATTCAATGAATGAAACGAAAACAGTGTCAGCACCATTACTACATAAAACTCAGTAATCTTCAAAGAAAATATAGAATATATTCCCAAAAATTACTTTAAAATATTATCTCCAAAAAGTCATCCACAAAGAAATCATTTGAAGAACAAACCAATGAAATGGATAAAACGATGAAACAGAATCCAACAACAGCAACGAACGGTGCAAGATATTTGATGAAATCGTAATAACCCGGTATCGAGCGCAATGCTATCACATATCTGTGAAACAGTCTCGACTGATTATTCTGAATATTGA